CTTCTGCACAGGCTTGCGCATAGCTGTAATCGCGCTGCAGTTTCCTCCGCCACTCATACGCTGTTCGCTTGACAACACCAGATGGCTTCGGTCCGAGCATTCCTAACACTGTCCCTTGGGCGTCCCATCCGTGTACCAGGTAAAACGGTGTGTCCAGACGGGTTGCGTCAAAGGATGTATTCAACGCGAACATCAGGCGTTCGGCGTGATCGTCCCAATCGGACTGATCTGCCTCAGCCACATATGCACACACACTTCAAATCACCGTCTGGACTGATCGTTCCTGTTGGCCATTTGATTGGGGCCTGTAGCCGAGGGTGGCTCGTTGTTTGCTCCCCAGCAATTCCCTGAAACATCTGAACACCTCGCCCATAAATCTTGGATCCTGGTCGTGGCGGATCATGGAGCTCGCCCCAAACCTCTGGAGAACGCGTTCTTCATACGCCTCATCCACTTCTTGTGCAGTGGTCGAGCTCATCGGCTTGCACATGGCATAACCTGAGAACATATCCTGGAAAAGCAACAAGAAAGTGTTGCCCCGGGCGGACTCCGGTAAATGAGTGACGAAATCCATAGAGACAATCTCAAATGGGTGTCAACGTACCCGGGGGAGGGCCCCTGGTTAGGGGGGTGCCCCTTTCCGCTAGCACAGTCTACACATTCTTTGACGAACGCTTCTACGTCCGCATACGTTCCATACCAATAGAAGTCTGTCCGGAGTTTCTCATGCGTACGTGTTATGCCCTGATGACCCCCTTGGAAATCCTCATGAGCGTAGTGCAATATGGCCTGGCGTAACGTCTCCGGAACTGCCAATCGTAGCATATCCGTCTGATCTCTGGGTCTACCCTGAGCGGAGTGATTCAGGCGGACCAACACGTCTCGACTGTCCAACACGAATAGGTCAGCTTCCTTCGAAAGGCGACGTATCTGCGCGCGAGAGAAACTATCCACTTCACCTCGCAAGAATTTCTTGAGGTTTAACAGACGGTGATCCTCATCTTGGTGCGCCTTGACTCGTCTCCACCTTTCCGCTTGATACTCCAATGGTCCCATCGGATCACTCTGGCTGGGGTTTCCGCGAGTATGACTCCGGGTCACGGCCGTCATGATTCTAACCGGGGTTGGTTAAGGCGCGGACTCGGGTTCTGGCTGAACACTAGTTGATTCGCCAGACAGTGGTTCTCGAGCAGGGTCTTCTGAGTCCAGAACGACTACTGGCTTCATCAACTTCTCTGGAATCGAAGACACATATTCCAAGTGCATCATTTCGGCCGGGTCGGTCACGATCCAGGATTCTCCAGCCGCCAATGTCTTTGAGGTAAGATAGTCGGCCGCTTGGTTGTATTCTCTCTTGACATGTACCAACCGGACCGACTTGAACTTTTC